TTTCAGAAGTATACCTGACAAACAGGCACCCAGGTTTCCGCTCAAGAGCCATGTGTTGTTACACGTTGCCCAGAGAAGCCCGATTTGTAGCTGTTCACTGTCCGGTGCTCTTTGGTCACTTGCGCCATAACATAGCAAACCGAGAAAACGTTTCACAAGTACATGTGTGGCCTGTGTCAGAAAGGTTATGCGCTTGGGATAACTTACGTGTTTTCAGCAAACCTGAAACTGTAGACAGTGGATCACAGAAAAGAGGGAAACACCTTTATCTTAAAGTTGGCCGCGTGTCTGCCCTGCCTGAGTCCTGGAGACTGAGTGTGTGTCGCTTAGAGCTTGTGGGAGACGCTCGTGCACCTAAGTACCTATCTGGGATCACTCATGGGAGCTGTAGTTTGAATTTTGTTCAGTAACGTCTGTGTTTTACACAGGGTATAAAAAGATGACATATATTCCTGAGAACGTCGTGACAGAAAGGATGAGATTTTGGAAATTCAGTGAACTTTGAAACGACCCTCAATCCTCCCCCCCATAAAAAACGCTTTACTATTAAATTACTCATTTGAAATTTTCTCATAACCACGTGAGTCTTGTCTATTCGTTGAAAAAGTATTTACTAATGGAATGACAAGTATCTAGATCTGTTTTTTCCATAACCGACAAATCATTTGGGACGCATATTGTTCTGAAGACCTGTAGACTGGATAGTTAAAAAATTAAAAGCTTTTATTTTTAAAATTCAGTTGGTTGTTCTTTCCCGGGTCTGATCGTAGACATCCCAGGGCCCTGACCCGTGGACACCCAGGGTGGCATGGGGTCTCCTGGGCAGTGTCGTGGGAGTGAGCGGGCTCGACGGATGTCCTGCCCCCTCGCCCACCACTTTCGCTTCTGGGCTCGGATTATTATTAGGTCCGTCGGCTGGAATTGACCCCAAGTCCGCGTAGAGTTGCCCCAGTCTTCCGGAGGTGATTGTCATTCACCCCCAGGGCTGTTTTAACCCTAGAGTCCTTTAAGTGGCTGGGCTACACTGAGTCGTTCACAGTGAAACTAGTATTTTGGGCCCATGACAAAGACAGCTATGTAGGTTTCATGTACAGCTTTTTCCTGATACTCTTGTGCTCTCTGGGTCCGATGTGTATTGTTGAATTCAATTCCCTAAGTTTTGTTTAGAATTTTTACATCCGTTTGTCAGGCATATTGGTGTGTGGTTTTCTCGTAACATCTGTCTGGGTTTAGGGTCAGGATGGTGCTGGCCTCCTGACACGGTTGGGGAAGTAGTCTCTTCTTTTTAATTTTTTGGAAGAATTTGTATAGAACTGTCACTTTGTTTTCCTTTAATATTTTGTAGACTTTAACTCTGAAGCCATTCGAGCCTGGAGATTCTTTCGTGGGAAAGTTTTGAACTATAAATTAATTTCCTTTTATAGATCCTGGGCTATTCTATTTCTTCTTGTGTGAACTTTGGTCATTTGTGTCTTCAAGGAATTTGTCTATTTCATCTAAGTTGTTTAATATATTGATGTAAAGTTTTTCTAATACCCCCTTATTATCCTTTTAATACCTGTGGACTCTGTAGTGACCTCACCTCTCTTATTCATGATACTGGCGATTTATGCCTTCTCTCTTTCCTGAACACTCTGGCCAGAGGTCTGTAGAGTTCGTTGTCTGAAAGAACCAGTTATGGTTTCATTTTTCCATTTTCTATTTCACCGGTTTCTGCTCTGATTTCCCTTTTCTGCTTCGTTTAGGTATCGTTTGCTCTTCTTGTTCTAGTTCAGGGTGAAAACAGAGGTGATCGATTTGAGACCTTCTCTAATGCAGGCTCTTGGTGCTGTAAATTTTCCCCTAAGTACTGCTTTAGTGGCATCCCAAAAATATTCATATGCTGTGTCTTCATTTTTATTTAGTTTAAAATGCTTTCTAATTTCTCCTCTGAGTGCTTCTTTGCCCTCTTGGTTATATAGAAATACGTTCTTTAGTTCTCAAATATTTGGGGGATTTTCCAGACATCTTTCTGTTATTTATAATTTATTATCTGAAATCTTCTGTCAGATATTAATGTAGACACTCCAGTTTTTCTTTCATTAGGGTTGGCACGGTATATCTTTTTCCATCCTTTTACTTTTAACCTATTTGTGTCTTTATATTTAATAATGGATATTTTTATAGCCAGCATATAATTGGGTCTTGCTGTTTTAAAATCCAGTCTGACCATCTCTATCTTACAGTTGGTTGTTTAGACCATTTAAATGTGTCGTGATTGTTAACAGCTGTCTTATCACAGCCTGTCTCCAAGTGATATTATGCTATTTCCGGTAACTTTTAAGGACTTTATCATCGTTTTTTTATCTTTCCACTCCTGGCCTTTGTCATACATTGTACTTATGTATATGTCCCAAACCACGCAGTACATTATCACGGTTTTTGTTTCAACAGTTATCTTTGAAAGATATTTAAATAACAAGGAAAATGTAGTTGCCACTTCCCGGTGCTCTGTTTTCCTTCGTGGGGATCTCCGCATCGTCGTGGTATGTTTTCCTTCTGCCTGGACGTCCTTTAACATTTCTTACACGGAAGGGTTGCTGGTGACGATTTATTTCAGCTTTTGCGTGTCTGAAAAAGTCTGTTTCACCTTCGTTTTGAAAGGTATTTTCGATGAGTATAGAATTCTGAGTTGACAGGTTTTTTTCAGTCTTTGCATTGTTTCCAACAAGCAATCTGACGTCATCGTCATCCTTATCTTTGTCCTGCTCTGCCTATGTTCCCCGCCCCGCTCTGGCGACCTTTACCACTGGTTTGGATGGTTTTGTTACGGTGTGCCTGGGTGTTATTTTCTCCATGTTTCTTACGCTTACAGTTCAGTGAACTTCTTGGATACGTGTGTTTTAGTTTTCATCAGTTTTGGAAAAATTTTGGCCATTGTCTCTTCAAAAATTTTAAATCCCCTTCAATTAAATGTTAGAGTCCTTAAAATTGAAGCTCTGTTAATTTTTAAAAATTCTTTTCTTTCTGTTTTTAATTTTGTATAAGATTCAATAATATTTTCTTCTGAAATATCTAATCTCCCCTTAATTCCCACCCTGTGTGTTTTCATCTCAGATGTTGTGGTTTTCATCTCTAGCTGTTTGACTTTGAGTTTACCTTTTATATCTTCCAGTCTCTGTACTTTTCAAACATATGGCATTTAGTCATCATAACTGTTTTAAAGTCCTCTTCTACTGATTGTAACTTTTATGTCAATTCCGGGTCACATTCTATTTATTTTCCTCTTCATTTCCACCCGCTTTGTCTGCTTCTCAGCGTGCCTGCTCATTTTTGATTGGGTGCCAAACATTGTAAATTTTACCCTCTTGGATGCCGGATGGTTTTGTGTTCCTATAAATTTCTTGAACTGTCTTCTGGGATCGTAGTGAAATTAGTTGGAAACAGTTTGGTCCTTTTGGGTCTTGTTTTTAAGATGTGTTAGGCAGGACTGGGGCAGTGTTTAGTCCAGGGCTAATTATTCCCCACCGCTGAGGCCCGGCCCCTGCGAGCACTCTCCACAGTGTTCCCTGAGTCATGGTTCTCCAGTCTGGCCGGTGGGAAACGGGCACCACCCCCAGGCATGTTGAGCATCAGGGCCTGTTCCCTCCTGTCCTTCATGATGTCCTGTGCCTCAGCGAGATCCCCCCACGCGTGCCTGATCACTGCTCTGCCGCGTGCTTGAGGGCGGCCCTTTGCAGAGTCATGTTTTCCTCTGTGCATCTCTTCTCTTCTCTGGTACTTGCCTGGTGAACTCCAGCTGCCTTGGAGTCTCTCACCTCGTTCCGTCAGCCGTTGCTTCAAGCCTCCTCACCGTCTTGGTTGATCTTCATCGAATGAGTACTGGCTTGTCATCTTGCTTCAGGTGACGTCCCCGGAATTGAATGCATTATTTAATTGATGATCTGTTTGGCATCCTGAAATCCAGACACATTAAAGAATTTATGGGAGATATTTTGAGAGTCAGTTGGAAAATTCCAGCAGGTGAAAATCACAGAAAATCTTTAATTTATCTAGTTTTCACAATTGAGAAAAGATAGAAAATTTTAGAAAGTAACTATGCATTAGTGATACATTAATCTAATAACTTAGTCCTATGGTGGATTTAAACGTTTCGTCTTTGTGTTTAATGGATGTAAATTTTACTGTGTACTTTTAGATGAAATGAGAGAAACCGAGTCTTAAATCTTTGGAGAAGACTGTCTTTCTGACTTAATGCTTTTACTAACAATAGTTATTAATACTTCTTTTAAAATAATTTTTGGTAGCCTTCTTATTGTCTGCTAATACTCATGCAAAAGCTGAACCAGTGAAATTTACCAATTGTGTAAGTTTTCATTTTCTGGTATCATAAATTAGGACTCTAACATGAAGTTATGGTTTAATAAGGCCATTGTTAGATCAGTTTGACATACTTGAAAATATGTTAATTTAGGGTGTAAAACTATTAAATTAAAAGTGATATCTATCACCAGTAACCAAAAAGTCAACCTAGGTATGTAAGAAGCAAAATTACAATAGCAGTACAGCCTGGCGTGGCTCTAAGACAAATCCATGTTTCACTTTAATTTTTATGAAATAAGCGATGAGCAAGTCTGAAGGTTTTAGCCGTACAAAGTAATTTTTTACCAGTGTTTCAGTGGAAGTACTATTCAGTTGCTTATTGTTATACTGAAAAATGACTAGTGATTTACCAGGTAAATTCTTTCAGCATTACAGATACACAATTTTACTAGTCCCGTCTCCTGAGATGGCAAAATGAACATCAGTATAATGGAGCACAAGAATACACATTTTGGAATTTTCTTTAAAATAATATTAAGCTTTTAAAAGTTTAAATGTAACGGTCTAAAATGTCAAAAATTATAGCCAAAAAAATCAGTGTTCTAAGATCGCAAAGGTGTTTTAATGAAGAGGAACAGTTCGTTTGGGGTTTTTTTAAAGATCAGTAACTTAATTTACATCTCTATGTAATGCATCCCTTTCTCTCTCTCGTTTTCGCAGGTTCTGCTGGAAACTTACATTTGGCCTCAATGTGAAATTCAAGGAGAACGTCGCACCTACACGTCTGTTGCTGTCAGGATGCTGATTCATTGGTCATGCCCGACGAGGGAAGTTCTGTTCTAGACGGCTGACTGCCAGCAACACTCGATGCTTATCCTAGATGTCAAGCTTCTCCCCTTTGTACTGGAGTGAAAATCCCCTCCAGATACCAACGGAACACCAACTACAGAAGATGCTTCGCGTTTTAAGGATGTCAGCAACCTAACTTCATGCGCCCTCTCTGCACGGTCGTTGTGGATGGTTTACCATCGGAAAGCTCCTCCGGCTCTCACCCAGGCCCCGGGTCTGTCTCTGAAATGTCTCTGCTTCATGCTTTGGGTCCAGTGCAGACCTGGCTGGGACAAGAGCTGGAGAAATGTGGCATCGATGCCATGATTTATACTCGCTATGTCCTCAGTCTTCTGCTGCACGACAGCTATGACTACGACCTGCAGGAACAGGTATTTACATACTTTAAATGTTTTGCGAAATTTCATGGTTGTGTCTGCACGTTGGGCTTTCTCCCCAAAGAGCTCTTTCATACCCTGGGCGGGGCTGTAGACCGCCATGGCCCACAGGCTTTCACCCTGTCAGCGAGTGGCCCTGCGCCGTGTCGCCAGGCACGCTGGGCAGGTCCGCGGTGTTCTCTGTGCTCCCTCCGACTTCCTCGGTGTTGGGTGAGTTCTGGAACAGACTCCGGTCTTGTCACCAGCTGGCGATAGGCTGTTGGCCTGCTGCCTTTTGAGTAGCACTGCTCCAGCACGTTGTCGCCGCTTGAGGACTGTCGCTTCTCATCGCCAGACACCTTGATCATTGTGTCAGTTACACTGCTTAACGCTCCAGAGTCTCATGTTTCATTGTATCTATAAGAATGACGTTCAGCTGCTCAGTGATCAAAGTGTGAGTTAAAATCAGGCATAAAAGTTTGGTAAAACATGCAACTTTGCCATAAGTCATCATATATCACCTGGTAAGTCGGCCATTACACATTTTATTCGATACGAGGGCTGAGTTTAGAGTGAGAAAGCAACCAAATCGGGTTCTCGGGGGGAAAATAACTTCAGTCTCACTCTCCAAGAGGAGCTGCTGAAAGTGATGCCTGCCAGAGCCATCACCAGCGAACGGATGGGCTCTGGGTGACTTCTGTGCACAAACTTCACTGTAAACAGAGTGTTTCGTGGGCAGTTGTTTTGAACCATTGTTAGTAACACTGAAAGCAGGAACAAAGTTTCATTGACAGAAGAGGCTGACCTTGCCCTTCCAAACTACAGAAAAGCCTCAAAGTCCTTAAATACAGAGGATTTCATCAGTATGCCTTACATTTGTCACAGGGCAGTTGTTTGGAGGGTATTTTCTCTTGGGGTTTCTCATCCTCTCTAGCTGGACGAAACTGCGTTTTCCCTGCTTCCGGGTTGTTAGTGCCGTGACTGGTGAGAATTAGGTCAAATCAAGTTTTCAGTGGATTGACTGATCTATAACCTAATAATCAGAAATATGTTATTTTGGTCCATATTTTGTATAATTTCCTTACTGAGGTTCTATTATTTTCCATCAGCATTTCAGTAAAAGTAAAATATACTTCCTTAGGGGCAAGTAAAATATGTAATCTGTAAACATGGAAGAATTTTTATTTCCAGAAATGAGGAAGCTATTTCTCTTAACTCAGAAACCATATCCTCTGGGAATTGTATATTAGCAGTATCTGCCTGGCCTATTTCATCAGTACCAGTCATTGGTGAGCACAGAGTACGTATGTGCCAGGCGCTGCAGGACACTGCGGAGGGCGTGAGACGTGGGCCTGCCAGTAGGACGACAGGTGCACACACCTCTGCTGAGTCGTGTGTGGGAATTCTGCTGGTCTCTTTGTGAGTGGGGCCTTGGAGTCAAGGCCAGGACAGTGTCGGTGCCCGGCTGTGTGTGGTCCTCCCCCCACAGCTCTGGCTGGCCCTGAGGAAACAGGACGGCTTGAGGGTAATGAGACAATGCATCCGGAGTTCCAAAGAGCGTCCACAGGGAAGTAAAAGGCCCCTGGAGCACTCTCCGCCCAGCCCAGGGTAGCAGTGCCAAGTCCCGTGCTGGTGGCGGAGGTCACATGAAAGTGATACTTGTTTTAATGAGCAGTGACTTAAGGGTCAGTTAGCCCCTGCCTTACTTTTTCATGACCGCAGGGGCAGGGTGTGCTCACTTTGTCCCCAAAAGGAGGGTTAAAGTGTAGAGCGGGGGAGGTGCCCCTCTCACAGGAGGAAGGAGACCAGAAGGGCCGTGGCCTGCCTGCGGTGATCCAGCCTGCGGTGATCCAGACTCCGGCTCGGTCGCAGCCCGTCGTAGGCGGGAAGCGCGCCGCCTTCTCCGGCCCCCGGGTCAGACCTGCCTACGGCGGCCTGGCCCTCAGGTGGAGGCCAGACGACTCCACTTTTGGATGTTGGTTCCATTATTTCTTTTTTCCTCCTTTGGTCCTTGAATTAATTGAACCTGGACTTAAAAATGGCTGGTTTTAAGGCCATTGCTTCAACTACCAGCTGCATCTGCCATGTGTAAGCCATTGTTTTTCCAGATCTTAGTTAAACCCTAAAGAGTTCTTAGACTCTAAGAAACAGCGTCTGTACGTGACTTTGGTCTCAGCTGTCCGGGATGATTAGGTAGGAAATGAGGCTGATCAACCCTCCTGGTTGAGGATAATAACTAACGGTTACAGGTGAACTCGGATTGAGCAGGGCTGTAAATGCAGTTGTGGCACCAGCCGAGTAGTGTAAATTCTAGAGGACAAGTACCTTCCAATGTGTAGATAGTACAGTTGTGTCCCAGTGATTTTATTTCTATGATTTCCTTTTTATTTTTCTTTTGGTCATGTTTGCCATACTCTGGTAAACACACTCTCAGATAATCAGCAATTCCCTGTCATTTTAGAATGTAAATATGAACTACTTTTCTGACCCTTCAAGGTCCACTTCACCTTTCTCTGTGAACTCTCTGCAGTTTCGTCTTCGGACTTGACCGTTGTTCTGCTGTAGAGCTCTTCGTTATACTATTAGACTGCGTTATCTTTCCCAGGAGATGGTCAGAGTCTTAAGGGCAGAAATCATATCTTCCTCTTTTTAACACATTTAAACTTCTTATGAAATAATTGCAAACAGAAGAATAGCAAGAATAGTACAAAGAGCGCTCATGGAATCTTCACTCGGTCTCCAGTTGCTAACATTTTCCCACTTGTGTTGTATTTCTCTCCTCTCCTTCTAATGCTCACTTATCCTAAATACATCAGCATATTTTTCTTAAGGAATTGGACTCTTTCTTAGCTGTAATAAATTATAAAATTCAGGAAAGTTAACATCGACACAGTATCACGGACCATACCGTCTCTGTTCGGTTTTTATCAGTTGTCTCGATAACTTCTTTCGTTGTGATTGTTTCCCTCGTCTAGATCTGATCTCAGGTCAAATATTGACTGACTTCGGGGGTCACATGTTTTTACTCTCCTTTAACCTTAACCTGCACTGGTTCCTCATCTTCCCTCGTGTCTCGTGACATTGACATTTTGAAGCACACAGGCCGCTTTTGCAGAATGTCCCTTTGCGTTTGACGTTTTCTCCTGTTTTGAGTCAGGTTATGCTCTTATGGAGGTAACATTACATAATCAATGACGGTCCCTTCTCTTCCATGCCTCCCAGCACATGAAGTCTGTCTGTCTCATCTTGGCAGTCTCATCTAACCTTTGGTGCAGACGGTGTCCCAGCACATGAAGTCTGTCTGTCTCATCTTGGCAGTGCTGACCTTTGGTGCAGACGGTGTCCTCCAGGTCGCCACCGCAAAGCTGGCCACTCTTCTCTGTCATCATCAGCTTGTTGATTATGTGTGCTCGATCCAGGGGCTTCTCTCTTGCTTTGTTCTCAAGCCTCACCCCTCCCTTTCTGGCTGCAGACCCAGACTTCCACCCTCATTTGTGTGTGACCAGTCCCTGACCTGACTTCTAGATGAGGGGACTTCAGTGGCTGGGCTGCAAGCACTTGAAACCATAGGGACTAGGGATTGGAGAGGCTGGTCCCGCAAATGAAATCTGGAATGATTCGGGAGGGTGCCGACCATCAAAAAAAAAGTCCTCTCTGAATACCCATGTACAAAGTAGCACTTTCTTTTTATAAGTTTCTACTTAAGTTTTAGGAACATCCCCTGGCTGTCCTGCGTTCTAGGGTTTGGGGCCGTTTGCCAGCGTTACCCTCTCCCTCCAGGATTTCGTTCCCTGCTGCTTCCGGGCGTTTCGTCTTTGCAGACCTCCCCCGAAATCGTCCTCTGATGATGGTCCCTCCATCCGGGATCGCTTCAGGTGTTCTCATGACGTTAGAATTGCTGTTCTTTAGGTCCTGGGACTCCCAGAATTTCATTAACTGTTGCAGATGGGGAGCAACCGTGAATTCTGTACAAGAATAAAAGAGGGCTTTTCTCCCTTAGCGTTTTACGCACACAGCAAAGGGTGAGACGGGAGAACTTGCACAAAGGTCGTATCTCCGAGATTTTACCTGGATAAATGATAGAGCACCGCCGGCCGCGCAGGAGCCCCGCAGGCCCCACACGGCTTCAGACTCCCGCGCGTGTCCCAGGGCGGCCCACAGAGTGCGGGCTGTTTCCCCTCCCTTCCGATTCCTGGGATCCTGGTCCCTTTGTCTCTGGTTCTGTCTCCCCAGCCCTGGGAGAGGCCCCCGGCTCCGCTGGTTTCTCTGCCTCTTAAAGGGCCACCTTTTTCACAGCCCCTTGCCCTGGGCCTAGGATGGGTGCCTTTCCCGAGGGGGCAGGCAGCCTCAGATGCCAGCGCCCTGTGCTGGCGTCTGCCCTCGGTCCTCAAGGCCTGGGCGCTCCGGCTGGGCTCTGATCCCTTAGCGCAGGCTTTGCATGTTTGGTTTGGTTTTGTATTTTATCTGCCTTTTCTGTTAGTTTGGGCAGGGGAGTTGTTCTGCTTCCAGTTCTTTTCTTTTTTTTTTTAAGGCTTTAATTTTTAGAGCACGGGAAACAAGAAAAAATAAAAAATGGGACTAAAAGTTTTCGCACAGCAAAGGAAACCATTAGCAACATGAAAAGACAACCCGCTGAATGGGAGAAGATATTCATCAATGATACATCCAGTGAGGGGGTAATATCCAAAATCTATAAAGAGCTCATGCAACTTAACACCAAAAAAAAAAAACCCAAAAAACCCCAAACAATCCAATTAAAAGTGGGTAGAGGACTTGAATAGACATCTCTCCAAAGAGAACATACAGATGGCCAGTAGACATATGAAATGATGCTCAACATAATTAATATCAGAGAAATGCAAATTAAAAATCACGATGAGATATCACCTCACACCTTTCAGAATGGCTGTCATTAATAAATCAACAAACAGGCGTTTGCAAGGATGTGTAGAAAAGGGGACCCTCATGCACTGTTGGTGGGATTGGAACAGGCGTTTGCAAGGATGTGGAGAAAA